GTGTATTCTGCCACAAGGTAACAATTACGTTCATGTTCGCGCTGTCATGTTCCCTGCGCATCATGTTGACTAGATAATTCTAGCGTCTCTCGTTTAATTATGCACGTACGGTTTCGCTTATTGCATCAATCTGTCAAATTCATACCGCCTTTACGAGTAATTGCGTGTAACGTTCGATCCACGTTCCGACGAACGTGCGTCTACGCATGTTGTCATTACGCCTATAATTAGGACGCGTTAACGATCTTCTTAACAAGTTCTACAGATGCAAGAAATTTAATCATTTGATCGAGCGAAGAGACGCAATTAAATCCGTAAACTGTGAAAGCTATATAATTGTGATACCTTTCATATAATCTTCGACAAATCTTTCATTATCCAACTATTCGATATACCTCACGGCACATTTTCGCTAAAATCTAAGTCTAAGGATAAGTTGCGAATAACCGACGGAGAATTCCATAATCCGCACGCGGTAACTCGACCTGTTTAGGAATAAATACAGGAACGGAGGGTGCGCGAAGAGGGGACCTTTCTCGTCACCCTTCCTCTCTCGCTCTCCCTCGCTGTCGGTCGTACTTGGACGTCCGTCGGTCGTCGGCGTTGGAGCCAGAGCTCTCCCCATTCCCAACCCTACCACTCTGCTGAACCCGGCGGTATCGCCATCCCTCACCTACCCCTCGGTCGTCGTAGAGCCCCCGCGACCCCCCGCGGCAGCCCCGGTCGAACGAGCGAGGGAAACCCTTCCTCCCTGTCCCCAGAGCGCCTACGCCTCCCGCGTTGCCCCGGCAACCTCAGCTTGGGGTTGGCCACCACCGCCTCCGTGTTCCGCGGCTCCATTCACCGCGTCACCCCCTCTTCGCTCCTTCTCCTCCGACGCGTCCTCCGCCCTCTTCTTCCCGCCGTCGTTCCTCATCCCTGTCTTCAGCCTCTTCCATTTCCCCGCGCACCCCAACCCCTTCTCTGTCTTTCTCCCTCGCTCGCTCGACGTTGTTGCTTCGCCTCGGTCCAACCCTCGTCGGTCTTTACCCTTCTACCCTGGTTTCGACCTCGTCTCGTCTGGAGTCTGCGAGAGAGAGAGAGAGAGAGGGAATGGAAGGTTGGTCCAGGTGGAAAAGAAACGAGGAGAAGAACGGCACAGCAACGACGGCGGCTTCTCTGGAAGCCAACCGGATTAACGTATTTCGAATAATTCATGCATATTTTCGTGCCACGCGAGGAAACGTGCCAGACCGGGCCAATTTCAGCAATAATGATTGTAAAAAGAAAAAGCAGACGCGGAAATCCAATTTATAGACATTTGGAAACTATAGCTTTTTATACTAACGACGTGCGTCCAAAGTAAACGACTTGTATGTGCAAATATGACGTATCGATTGTTTTAAAGAACGATAACTGTCTTAAAATTTATTTATACGTACAATCATCTCTAGAATAAACGTAAGTTGTTCGCGTAAAGTTGTTTGCGCGGCGAGGTGCGGTGCAATTTCAAGCAGAAACATCGCCCTTGACGAGCAGGCGCCGCGCGTCGCTTCCCGACGTGAATCTGTAAGCGACGCGACCCTCTTCCGGAGGGGGTTCTGACGTCGTCAACGACGAGTTGAACTTGTTACGACGTTACGCGATTCCTCCGTCGAGAGGGAGAGTTCTCTCTCCGCTCGTGTCTGACACTTTTTCGCCGCTAGTGTAGGGTGAATCAAATTGTCACCGCGTTGAAGACGATGAAGGAAAAGGGACTATTCGATCTTCCAAATGGAAGACTCGTATGGCCGTGTTGTTGCACGCGAGAGAGAGAAGGGGGTTAAATCGATGATAAACTCTCTCTCTTTCTCTCTTCACTGGTCGATAGAGGGGAGAGAAAGACCAGGTTGCTCTTCACGAACTCCAGCTCTGCCGCAACACACCGGGAGAGCGAACACCCGAAACTTCGAATCGGTCTCCGATCCCCTTCTCTCGCAAATTCGCCCAGGTAATTCGATTATATCCGCGTCGCTCGTCCTACGAGGCGAGTCGCGATCGATAATACCCGGCGTTTCACGTCCGATCCGATTCTCGCGGTCGAAAGGTATCGACTTTCGTTGCGCGTATCTCGGAGAGGAAGACCGGGTTGCGAAGAAATCCGCGGCCCCACCAGCGGCTGTCAAAATCAGCTGATCGTAACCGTATTAACTATTCGTAGCAAGTTGGATGCGCGATAAACGTGTTATTTTCCGCAACGTGACGATTAACGAAATAAATATTCTATTGAATATCTTGGAGAGAAATTTCACGCAATTTAATCGCCTTATCTCTCTACTCTTTGATCTCGCACAAAATATATAGACACACACGTACACTCTCTCATATAAATTCTACGCGTTTCTCCAATTCTCTAAAGTTACAGCACGAAAATATCTTATCGCGCGATAATTCGATTACACGGAAGTGACAACGAGTGTTAAACAGAGATAAAGGAGCGAGATTCGAGCCCGGTTCGCGACGACAAACAACGCAAGAAAAAAGATACGCTCGTGTATGCGTACTTACATATGTGGTCGCATGCTATCTTTGAAATATGTTTCATCCGGGTCGCGCCGGTGTTACATGGAAACGCGCTATATCGGCTGCGTTCCGGGACAGATAACCCAATTAAAAGCTACACACATACACAAAGATAGGGTTCGGTTCTCGCATGCCGTATTCGTAGTCGTAGAAAGGCGGACCCGTATCCGATGTAAAGGCAGATACGATGACAGATATACGCAAGCGTCGGCCACGTTCTAAAATCGTTAATCGGGAACGCGAGCCGGAGGCTAGTTTCCATTCTAGGCGTTAATTGATACGACGCGGAATTGCTATGTACTTTTTCGAATTCGCTCCGCCAGACTCGTGATAAAAAGGCGCGAAACGTGCACACGCAGTCGCACGGCTACGAAAATCCTGTCGAATATGAAATAAATAAACGAACGTGTTTGTGTGTATTACATAAATCTGTGTAAAAATAAACTACTACTCTATAATTACATTATTGATCATTTTTATCATATTCGTTATTTTTGACATCCGACGAGCAGCTGGAAAAAATATCGACACAAACAGTATTCAAGTTGAAATATGTTAAGAATATCTAATTATTAGTCGTTACTATCCCTGTCTCGCGTAAATCGACGTCGGGAATTAATTAAAACGCGAAACACGTCGCATTTGGAATTTCGAATTTTCGGGACGTTTCGGTCCCTCTTTCTCGCGTCTCGCGAGATTAAATCCGGATCAATTCCCGCGGATCAATCGTGACGGCGCGATAGATCACAACTGTTTGCGCGCGCGTGAAAAGTCCGGGGGCGTGTAGTTAACCCGCGACGTACCTGAAAGAGTAATCACGCATACAGTACACTAGCCTATCTACCTATCTACCTACCTGGCTGCCGCTGGCATGGCCGATCGATTACCGTATAGCCGCGCGGTGCGGTGCACGGTGTGCCTGCCGCCACGTACCGCAACTACGTGACAAATATTATCGCGATCGACCGACCTGCGCCGCGTTTGATGTGGACGCGTTTATGAAATGCCGACACGCCGATAATCATGCGCGCGGCCGGCGCCCCAAGGCTAAATCCGATTTGTAATATTAATCCCCAGCGCCTCGACGCGATCTCTTTTTCTCATCTCTCCTCCCTCTGTACACGTGTATGGATGGGTGTGTGTGTTTTCGTCTCTATCTGCTCTTTCTCTTCTTTGAACCCCTCAACCAAGAGGAAAACACTCCGAGAACGCATTTGAATGAGGAAACGAGCGTCAAAAAATTTCTCCAAGGATATTATATTTATTACCTCTATATATATTTCATTCGTATTATATATAATTATCATTTAATTCAATTATCTAACAATTTTCCGTAAAAATTGTAGGCGCAAGTTTTGCTTCACACGGCAGCATCGATAAATTGTGTCGCGATTGTTTTTTCTCTCTTTTCTTTTTTTCTTTTTTTTTTTTTAATTATCTCGACGCGCAAACGAAAATTCAGTTAAACTCCTAAATCGCAATTAAAATGTTAGTTAAAACGAAATATGTCGGCGCGCGTCAACAGTAACCCACGTTATACATATATCGGCAGTGTAAGCGTTCCAGCTACAAAGTTTATTTTCGCTTTGCTTTGTATAAAATTAGTCGTGCGACGGGAGCGATTTTATATGATTAATTGCGGATATAATTCATTCCGCGTTGTTTTTCCCGATTGAGATTGTTCTGATTACGGCGTTGCAGCCAGGGATCGGGTGTCAACGATCTGCGTTCGACGCTCGCGATAAACAGCCTGAACAAACACCGGGGCGGAAAAGCCTCCCTCTCACTCCCTCCCCCCGCGCAATGCTTTTAACTACGGAACACAAATCTGCGTGCCACTCTTTGTGGACTAACTTGCCTCTCGCGCGCTTCTACTGGCAGAGAGGCAAGTTCTCCAAACACGTCCGGGCGCCATTACGCGGCCAAATGGATCGGTATATATTTATAGTTGACTTTGGCCCGTACTCAGATCTCTCGCGAGATCTCCAGCAGCTGGTGCGCGAATTTGCCCGGCGAGACATTTGGCGTATGCTCGCTAATTGTCTCACTCGCCATCTTTTCCTCCGAACGTCGCGACATTAGAGAATATATTATTCGATACAGCGTTAGCGGAATTAGAATCGACCCGGTGAGGGAGATAAGCGTTTGTAATTTTCGCAAGACGTTTCGTCGACGGTCCCCTCCCTCTGGAAATTTGCGTACGGCTCGAGCAGAGACGGAAATCCTTATCTGTCCTCGGTACAGTCCTCGAAGCACGCGAACGTCTCGTTGATGAGACAGGCAAAAGCAAGCAAGCAAGCAGGCAGGCATGCACGCGTGGACGCTCGAACAGGGAGGTGACTGTACGTGTCTCTCGTCTCGTCGTTGCCCCCCTTTCGTTCTCTCGCTCCAACCACCCCCGACGCCTCCTCCCCCCGCGCCCCGTCCTCCCCCGCGCATACCGTGCCAGCCAACGAGCCGGGGCCGCTTTCGCTTTGTGCGCGCCGGGGCGGCGGTACATCAAAGCCTTCTAGTTCCCGCTCCGGCCTTTGACGGTCGCGTCGCGGCCGCTCGCTCAGTCATCGCTCGGTTGTAGGCGATGTCGGCGCGCCGTAGATGAGCGACTCGCGCGCGCGCGCTCGCACGAGGAGCGCGGGCTCCTCGTCACGAGTGATCTGCGGGAAAGTTTCGCGAGACGAGAAGGAACGGGGATTCCTCGCCTACGTCGTTCGCCAGGGTGTTTACATGTCCGTGCGAGACTTTGAGGCGTGATAGGCGAAGGGGTGAGAACGCGATTGGGGAGAGAAGATGTCGCCTCGCGGTGGCAAGTGCGCGCGTGTCAGCAAGGTGGCGACCACGCCAAGGGGCGCCAAGCGCGCACCCAACACGTCTCCTCGGGTCTTACGGAAGCTGAAGAAACAACAACAACAACGTCGACGGTGGTGGCGACTACGCGACGACGACGACGACGACGACGACGACGACGACGACGACGACGTTAACGGCGACGGTGACGTCAAACGGAACGGCGATCGCGACGACGAGAATGGACAAGCCGCGGTGGTGCACACGACGGCGTGCAACGCCGAGGGTCGATCGCAGTGGAGCGGGCGCATGCGCCAATCCTGGAGAGCAGCTCCGAGCCAGCCCGTGAAAACGGCGCCCCGTTGCCGCGTTGTTATCCGGAGAGGCAACGACGACGAGAGAGACACGTCGCCGCGGGGAGGAAGCATCGACCGGCGAGGTGCGCCGAGAACGCCACCGTCGTCGCCGGCTCCTCGTGCTCGTCGACGTCGTTGTCGTCGCCGCCGCCGGCCCTATCCTCGCCCGCGTCCTCCTGCGCGTCCTCGCGCCGCTCGACCTCGCCGCCCTCGAGCGCCTCGTCGCCGGCGCGTTCCTCCACTTCGTCGTCGGTCACGAGCGATCCGCTTGCGATCAAGCCAGCGGCCGGGAAGCGGAAGCGGAACAACGACACCGGCGCGGCGACTCATGGAGCGACGACGATCACCTCCTCGACCACTGTGTCCACCACGTCACCGTTCCCTCCCCCGTGTCCACGTCTTCGGCGTCCTGCCGGACGACGACGACCACCCCGCGCGGCGTCGCGCCATCGTCCTCGTCCGCTCTCGAGAGGCTAAGAAGTGTCCTTGAAAATTACGATCGCAGTCGAATCTATCTCGCCCACGTTTGCTACCTGGACTGGCGGGATCTGCCGGGTAAACGGCGCGGAAGTCGCGGCGACTCTACGAAGGGTGGTACCACCGAACGGGTGTGGGTGGTGGGGGCGGCGGATCACGAGGGTCATCATCGGACACGGTTGTTGGTGGCCGGCCGTCACTGGCGACCACGTTGTCTACGCAGGGTCAACATGCTGACGCAGCCGGTGGTGTACGCGGGCGGTGGCAGGGGTTCCTTAACCGCCGATCTCTTTCTCTGGTGGTTCCATCACGAGTTTGCCGTCACGGCAATGGCGATGCATCCGGATGGCGCCGTGCTGGTGGCCGAGAGCGCCGATTACCTACCATCGGAGGGTGACTGCGTCGCCGCGGACGGTCTGGTGCGGCTATTTATCGTTCCCAAGGACTGTATGGAGACGCGGCTGGTGATCCGAGAGCTTAGAGTGCGACTGGCTACCGGATTACTGTCGAAAGCACGCTGCGGCGTTTACCGCGACAAGGTCTTCTCGAACTCGAGCGAGGAAGGGACGGATCACCGATTGGACGCGTACCTGAAATGGTTCACGCTGAAAGAGGCATTCGCGGATTTGCATCGCGCCTGGCTCAGCGTTCGGTCGGACACCTTTGCTCGCAGCTGGACGTTGCCGCGCGATCGCGATGATTCGCTGGCGGGACGTATCGGCGCCATATTGCCGTCCAGAATCCACGCGGTGGACCAGGAGGAGGATAGAATGCTGCTGGTCGAGCTGCAGAATCTTGCCAGGGAAGCCGGACTGGAAGTCGACGACGACGAGCTCGGCAGGTGGATCGTGGACGAGGAGAGCGCTTTGGCACGCGTTGTCAGGAAACGAGAGCCAGAAGAGCCAGAGCAGGTAGGATGTCGGGTGAAGATCGAAGCGGAGGACAAATGGTCGGAACGTAATGGCGACGAAGATGAAGACGGAAACGACGGCGTCGAGGAAGATGACGATGAGGACGAGCCGACTGCCGAGGAGGCTGTCGGGCTTCTCTCGAGGGTACTGACCTGGATGGAGAGGGAACCCCTCGATCCAGGACTCTTGCTGGCGGTCAGATCGATGCGCGATACCGCTGCACTTATGGTAAGCGGCTGATGAGAGACAGCCCGCTCGAGAGCTTCTATATCGATCCTCTGCGAGACAAGAGAGAGAGAGGAGGAAAGAATCGCGCGCAATCCTTCGAGCAGATTGAACTAATTTCATCGACTGTCACGTGACAAAGAGCGACCGGAGGGTTAAAGAAGTAGTGGGCGGATTACACTGCTATGCCTCGATAAGGGCACTCGAATTCGACGATACGCGAACGGAAAGGTCGGACGAACCCTGAAGTACATTCCTCCCTCTACGTTCCGTCTTTGCAAATTAACGCTCGAGCCGGCCCTCGATAAGCATTCCCCCTCGAGGCGAATCGAATTGATGAATATCGCGTTTCTTTTGAGAATCGTGAACTGTAAATCCTCGGTGTTATCCTTGCGCCTTTCACGCCGTTAACGTTATCGCGGTGTACCTAAACACGCGATAGATATTCTCGAACCTATATATACATATAGTGTACATTATAGCACGCATGCGTCACGTGCAGATATCACGATAAAGCAGCGTAGGATAAACAAGCGATTACTATCGGTATAAAGATAACGATTCATGCCAGCGACAAAAATCGTTTTGACTGATACGTCGTATTATTATATATACTTATCACATTATATATATATATATCTTATTATTTATGCGCCTATAATTTTATAATGTATTGGTAAATGTGCATATTTTTATCGCATTCAATTTTCTTAATTAATTTTTCTGAATCATTCGATGATATCTTCTCTTTGATTTCCGCAATGAAACCACGCACTAATATTAATATGTCACAAGTTCTTTTTATTAAAAATTTGGGTTTTTTGGGGCTCTACAGAAATTTGTTTTAGAAATAGACTAATTTTATAAAAACAAAGAATTAGCAAAACAAACAGAAAAACATACAAGGCGAGATATATATTCAGCGCATTAACATTTGCTTATTTTGTTATCTTACAGGCGGGCAAAATGGCAGGCTTGGCGGGGACGCATCCGGGCGGGTTGCCCTTCTTTTGCCCGAATGGAGAACATCTGACGCAACCACCTCCTGCCCATATGGGCATACCACCCTACGGAGCACTGGACGCTGGCAAAGCGGCTGCCGCGGCCGGTAAGTACTGTTGATCATCATCCACTTATCTCTAAAAACACTTGCCGCAACAAGCTTGGATCTCTATCTCATTTTATCGATAATTTTTTCCGCGCAATAATCGGTTGTTGCTTTTCATGATCCGTTTGACAATTAGGTAAATTTTTCCGTGCCCCATAATTGATAATTTAAAAAATAATAATACAATAAATAATATAATTTTTAATTTAATAATTGATGATTTTCGTGATATAATTTCTAATTTAATTATGAATATTGAATATAATATTGTTATGTCGAATTTATACAAGTTACTAAAAAGATAACGTGTCTTTGCAAAAAATTAATAAATTGCGTTATGTCGGATTCGGTATACCTATTCTCTTGTCGTATTTTACAAATTTGATAAAATCTTAGCGGCGCAGCAGGGAAATTGCATTTGGAGTCTACTAGGGGTTGTACGTCTCGTAGATGTAAGATAAAAGCTTTCACTTATCTGTTTGAAAGATTAAAATTAAGTATCTCAGGATTGATATATCGGATCATATCAGAATTGATATGCATGTCTTTTAATTATCGCAATTTTAATATTTTTATCATTAATCGAATAAAAATTAATGAATGATTATTCTGTCAAATTATTATTAGAAGTCGCTTTTACGAAACTAATGCGAAGCCAATATAGTCACAAATTGAAGCTTTGAACGATAATGTATCCTCGTTTACGTATCATCTTTTGCAGAATCGCAAATATACAGCCGCTAATAATATAATAAAACTTCATTCGATGCACGCAGTTTCGACGTGAACTTTGAACTACCGCTGTTATATCACCCCCCTGATGATCCCCCTCCCTCTCCACGCGTATCGGTTGAATCAACAATTCTTTCACGAAGTTAATCCGGTATTGTCCGGCCAAATATTGACGTTCCTCTCCAATTGTAATTGATGGAATACTTTCGTCTCGTTCGCGCGTAATCGACACGTTTCGCTTGCAAGCGTGAGAGAGTTAGAGAGAGAGAGAGAGAGAAGGCCGTTTTATATATATAATTTTATTGTATCGAGCTGCGCAAATATTAACGTAACCGTTGTAATCCGCCGCCAAGCGAATCCGGCCTTTGCGCAAACCACGTTTGCGACCGTTAACGTGCGTTGACGCACGTTAATCTTCGTTAGAGGAATTTGATAGACAAAATAGCAAATTACGATTAACGAGCGTTATGAATAAATTTACAGTGAACAAAGCGATTTATATATAGGTATATCAGATAGGTATTACTCCGGATATATTAAGTATTCAAATCTCCGAATACACTGACAGATACAGAACGGTGGCGCGGAAACATGGAAATATCGCGTTTGATCCTCTTTCTCTTTTGGTTTCGTCGCAAGCGCATTCTCGATTAGGCTGCTCTCGAGTTAAATGGTCGCCGATAGATGTGCAAGCGTCGATACTCCTAATTGAAGGAATATTTCTTATCAAGTCAAGAGTCGTAGGGACTGAGAAGAGGGCGATGCAAAAAAATTCAACCCCTGAACCCTCCTTCTCTCCCGAAAAGAGGGAAACAGGTATGTTGTGAGAGATCAGACGAAGAAAGAGAGAAAGGGAGGGAGATAGAGAGAGAGAGAGAGACAGAGAAATCGCGAATTGGCGTCAAGTACGAGAATAAGAGGAGAACCTCACCATTAGGCTAATCAGCCGAGCATGCGACTCCCTTCTAGCGCTGGGTCAAGAGGGTTTCCACTCGTCCTCGCTGCTTCTGTACAGCTTCTCCCGCTTCCATCTGCTCTGCCCTCGACTCTCTCCTCTCTCGCTTTCTCCCTTCCGTCAACTTGGAATCATCGCGAAGATTCTACGTGACCTTGAGGAGAAGTTTCAAAGCAGCGTCAACCCCCGGAGAGCTCGACGCGTTTCGCTCCCGCAAACTATAAACTTTTCTCACGACGTGATTTTTATCGTACCGTTTTCCGCAGCGCGTTTTTTCGAAATTTTATCGATTTGTTCTCGTTTCTCTCCGCGCACCATTCAGGGGATATTTTTTTCCCCCTTTAGAGACCTCGAAGTATGTAAATGATGTTGATAACGTTTATGCACACGACTATACAACGCGGCGGCTCTGGTTCTTTGTCTTGCAAACGAGGGTAGCGGTTCGTCTCTTGGAGTGAATTGAGACTCCGCTTCGCGTCCCCTCTTCGCAATGATCCTTCCCTTCTTCCCCTCTTCACTTCTGAGATCTTGAACCACGCATTCTCCTACGGTTTCGTAGCCCTGAATCGAATGCCTCGACAGCTTCAAGTTTTATTTCTTCCCGTTCGTCTTCTTTTGCTCCGTTCCTCATCTTGTCCGCTATCCTTCATTCTCTTCTCGCTATTCATCCTTTCTCTCCCTGTCGCGTTCTCTTGCTCCTGATATATTCTAATTAGCTTTGCTTTTCGATCTCGCCGTATTTATTTCAAAACTCCACGGTAAAGAACGAACGAAAGAGGTGGCGGATAGGTGAGAGGGAAGAATGGCAGGGGAAATGGTGATGGAGATGGAGAGGCGGGAAGAGAGCGAAATGTAAAGAGGGTGGAGAGATGGCTGCCGACGCGACCACGTCCCGACGTTTCGTTTCACCAGGGCTTCGCCATTGATCCGCTTAATTTCTCTCTTCTCTCCCTTCTTCATCCGCCTTCTACTCTCGCTTCGGCTCTTCCCGTTCCTAGTTCTGTCTTCCGCATCGCGGAACTCTTTCCGCGCGAAGCTCAGCGTTTCTCTTCTCTCGAGAATCGATTCGCTTCCTCATTTCCGTGCAGTGCTTCTAGAATAATTTTGACTCCATTCGCGAAAATTCTTTCTCTGGCGGTAATTTACGATTGATGATGTATAGTCATGTATCTTGCGAGAAGCACATTAATAACATCCGGGGGCAACGTGTTTCTAATGAAAGTCAAACAACAGTATCGACTAATTAGCCAGTTATGATTTAATTAACACACCGTGTCGGATAGCGTTATGTGTCTCGAGGAAAATCGATATCGCGAGAAAGGGTAGGATTGTCGGTTTTGAACTAAACAACCGCAACAACACGTACCACCTTGCACCGTCTGCACTTGTACGAGCTTCCTGCTAAGCCCCTTGTCGACGACCCCACCTATTCCTCGTCATTGCCAGCTGCGACGTTTTAGGCCGTGTAATCCTTCGCGAGAGGATTGTTCTATTTTTTTTTCTTTGAGGAGTTAATATTCGATTTTACAATTTTAATATTATAATTTATATTATTTCTCTAATAAATATAGGCATTTTTGCATATTTTGAAAACTGATAATATTTTTATTTTAATCGAACTTTTGAATTATAATGCTTTTTGATAATAAAATAAAACATTAGAATTGTTACAATTCCATATTTCTTATTTCTTATAACTTTATCAACGTTGCAATTTTAATTTTTATTTAATCAACTGAGTCATCACTCTTCAGAAATAGAAATAAGCAAAGACAGAAAAGAGAGATCAGAGCGTGTACGTGTGTTGCGTTGTTAAAATCTTTTCTTTTTAAATTTATTAATAAATAAAATTTCGTTTCCGCCTTAACTCTTTCCACGCTCGTTCGCCATTTCCGTTCTCATTCCCGCTCTGTTCATCCAGTTTTCGAGCCCGTACTACCGGTTTCCGGGAGCCGGATGGACAGAATTCACGACAGTAAGATCTAATAGAACGAAATAGGCGAGCTGGATTGGGCGAAGCTACGAGATGTAGTCGAAAAAAAGAACTCGCGAGCGCACCGGCCGAGTTAAAATTGACTTCTCTGGGCGGAGGCAGGAAAAAAGAGTGAAACGAAAATGGGAAGAAGAAGAAGAAGTAAAAAGAGAGAGAGAGAAAGAGAAAGAACGAACATCGCGGTACATCGGGAGCCTGAGTTGTTCGAGAATAAAAGAGTAATTTTCCGGGTGGTGAGACGCCGATAATGGGGTTGCAGACTGCCGAGTCGACTGGAAAGTGATTAAGCACACATGACGGAACCCGCGGACTCGCCAGGATATTACGAAGCACCCCTTTCCTACCCGCCGTTCTCCTCCCTTTTTCGCTCGCGTTTCCTTGGCGCTTCTCTTCCTGTTCTCCACCCCGTTTCCCTCTCTCTCTTTCTCTCTGCACTTGCTCTCTTTCGTAAATCGTACTCCCAATTTCTGGTACCTTCTCGAGCATCGCATTTAGACGCATAGCGAAGCATTCCGATTCCATCGGATGCGCGTGTTTTCGACCCAGCCAACGGGCTCATCTTCGTCCCCTTTTCGTCGTATCGTTAACCGAGATTAAGCCCGGCCACGTTCGCTCGATTTTAATCCCGTCTGTCCTCGACCGATTGCTCGATAATTCACTGAATACTAGAATTTTTGAAACTTTGATCTTGTCCTCGCGTTTAATTTTTTCTTTTTTTCATCGTCTCATCGTACGACGAGTTAAACCTTGAGCTTTCTCGTAATTAGAATAACGAAAATCAAAAGAGCGGCGGGCAAATGAGTGAGAGAAGCCATAGAGATAGCTGTAACTTTTGCAACATTCAAATATCAGAGCGCTTGGCATAATGTGTAATTTGCGCTTACGATTGTTGTACCTGAAACGACGTAGGCGGGTATATATCGTGTTGCACACGGTACATCTACATACATACAAATTCATGCGCAAGATAAAATATCGGATTATTACTTTTACGTGGGATTAAATTTCGTTTCGGTCGCCATTGTTTTCACGGGCTCGAGTGTGCTTCGTTATTCAAATGAGATTAAAAGCCCCGGGCTGAGTGGTAGCCCGGTCTCGTTACAGTCGAGTGGCTAATCGTCGTTCTGCGAAGATCGAAAGTAGCTTCATCGTACAAAAAAAGCCCCGACATCCACGCGTTTTGCGCACTCCGTCGAATCGTTTTATTCTTTTCCGCCTGTATTACGCAAATAACGCCGGAAAATGAAAATAACGTATTCGCTTTCCAGAGAGGATAACAACTCTAATTTTTACCGTGAGATGATGAAACGAAATAAAGAT